GCCCCGCCGGGCCCAGCACCTTTATCCCAAAAAATTTGGGCCAAGAGCGTCCCTGCCCCATCCCTGTCCCCTTCTCCTGTCCCCTTGCTCACCCCTGCTCTGCCCCAGCCCCATTCCTGCCCCATTCCAGCCCCATCCTGTCCCATCCCCACCCTGTTCCTGCCCCATTCCAGACCCATTTTCCCCCATTCCTGACCAATTTAGCCCCATTTCTGCTCTGTTCCTGCCCCATTTCACCCCATTTTGCCCCATTCCCACCCTGTTTCTGCCCCACTCTGCCCCATTTCACCCCACTCCCCCCCTTTTCCTGCCGGCCAAGAGCGTCCCGGCGCCATCCCTGTCCCCTTCTCCTGTCCCCTTGCTCACCCCTGCTCTGCCCCAGCCCCATTCCTGCCCCATTCCAGCCCCATCCTGTCCCATCCCCACCCTGTTCCTGCCCCATTCCAGACCCATTTTCCCCCATTCCTGACCAATTTAACCCCATTCCTGCCCTGTTCCTGCCCCATTTCACCCCATTTTGCCCCGTTCCTGCCACATCTCACCCCATTCTGTCTCATTTCACCCCATTTTTTCCCATTCCTCCCCCATTTGCCTCATTTTGCCCCATTCCCACCCTGTTCTTGCCCCATCCCTGCCCCATTTTGCCCCATCCCTGCCCCATTTTGCCCCATTCTCGCCCTGTCCCTGCCCCATTCCCCCCTCCTGCCCCATTTCACCCCATTCTGCCCCATTTCACCCCATTTTGCCCCGTTCCTGCCCCATTTCACCCCATTCTGCCCCATTTCACCCCATTTTGCCCCGTTCCTGCCCCATTTCACCCCATTCTGCCCCATTTCACCCCATTTCGCCCCATTCCTGCCCCATTTGCCCCATTCCCACCTTGTTCCTGCCCCATTCTGCCCCATTTTGCCCCATTTCACCCTGTTTTGCCCCGTTCCTGCCCCCTTTCCACCCCACAGCTGCTTCGGGCCCACGCAGCCGCCACCCCAGGGTTTGTTCCTCTGCCAAACCTGCGCCATTTTGGCGTCCTTTGAGGGTGCCGGCGGTGACACCGCGCCAGGGGAGGAGGAGGAGGAGGAGGAGAGGGGACGAGGAAATGGAGGCGCTGGGGCAGCCCTGGCAGGGGCTGAGCTGGGGGTCCCCGAGGTGCCCGACCCACCCTGGGGGGCCCGTGGTGTCTGGTCCCAGAGGTGCCCCCCCCTTGGGGTCCCCCCAGTGTCCCCCACTGGGTCCCAGAGCTGTTTGTCCCTGGGGTGCCAGAGGTGCCCCCTTGGGGTGCCCCCAGTGTCCCTGCCCGGGGTCCCAAAGCTCTTTGACCCTGGGGTCCTGCAGGTGCCCCCTTTGGGGTCCCCTAGTGTCGTCCCCCCCCAGGTCCCAGAGCTGTTTGTCCCTGGGGTCCCAAAGGTGCCCCCACCTTGGGGTCCCCCCAGTGTCTCCCCGGGTCCCAGAGCTCTTTGACCCTGGGGTTCACAGGGGGGTCCCCACCCTGGGGTCCCCACAGTGTCTGGTCCCAGAGGCCCTCCCCTTGGAGTCCCCCCCAGTGTCCCCCCC